AACCCACAGCCAACATCATACTGAACAGGGAAAAATTGAAAGCATTCCCTCTTAAAACTGGAACCGGACAAGGTAGCCCTCAATCACTGCTTCTATTCAACATAGTGCTGGAAGTCCTAGCCAGAACAATCAGACAAGAGAAGGAAATCAAGGGCATCCAAATGGGGGCAGAAGAGGCCAAACTATCACTCTTTGCTGATCTTATAATCTTATATCTAGAAAACCCCAAAGATTCTGCCATGAGACTACTGGAATTTATAAATAAATTCAGCAAAGTCTCAGGTTACAAAATCAATGTACAGAAATCAGTAGTTTTTTTCCCTTAATTTTCTGACCTGAAGATACAAGTTAGGGAGTTATCATTTCAGAGATAGTAGAAGAAGCTGCTGGTATCAATGAAGTGGTTAGCAAGACTGAGTTGTGCCATGCCCAATGCAGCCCCTGGAGTATCTGCATCCAAATGGCTTGTGGAAGAGGAGATGCTTTTTAAAAATTTATAGACTTCATTTTCATTAAAGCATAATTACTGGTTGTTAGACTTAGAATTTTAGTTAGCAAGGTTGCCCAGTGACTGTCATGCATACTCAAACATGAGAAGCACTAATACATAGTATTAAAAACACCAAATATGAAATTCTGGAGACCATCAACATTTGGAACTCAGAAAAAGTCCAGAAAGAGCATGAGAAGGAGTAGCCAAAGGTGCTAGTGTAGGAAGTAATACGTGAGAGAGAGCACTGTCTTAGAATTCAAGGGAGAAAGAGTTTTAAGAAAATTCAGAAGTCCTTGTCTCTAACTCTTATTCTCCAATTGTCTCTTAAAAAAAGAGAGAGAAATATTTCAGGCATACACAAAATAATATAATCATAATTTTTAAATCTACCACCAATCTAAAAAAAAGCCTAAATCAACAAATAGAGTTGAAGTCCTTTGTTTAGTGTTTATTATTCCTTTGTATTTCTTTACACTCTGATACAGACATGTTTACATATTCCTCTTCAAAATGTATGGTTTAAAATTCCATTTTATAATATGCCTTCTTCAAAATTAATTTTAGCTCAATATTACTTTTGTGAAATTCATTCATGTTGATGTGTGTAGCTTAGGTTCCTTTTACGTGCTATAGTTTGTTTTCCATTTTATGAAGTCTACAATTTGATTATTCTACCTCTTCTTGATGGTTGTTTAGATCATCCATATGATATTCATGGCATATTTCATATGCCATGAATATTCCTGTTTCTGAGTATAAGAGTTTTCCTGTTCTCATTGTAATGTTTTTATTGAATTTTATTGAATTGAAATTCCTCCAATGTATATCAGTTTGCATATTCATCCCCAATATATTTTTGAAAGACAATTTTTCATGGATATCTTGCATTTCCGCAGGTCTTGTGTATAGTGGCACTTATTATCCTTTTATTATGCTCTATATTTTCAAGGCCATTTGCATAGCAAACATCTTTTATAGTATCTCCCTCTGGAGCAGAGGGAAGGTATGTTTAATGTCCAGTGTAATAAAGATGCCTCCCTTTTGGGCAATGGCTGGGGCAGGTTTGATTACTTGTAAATTATAAAAAACTAAGGTTTCTTAAGCTCAGGGTCCCTCAGATATGATGCACAACCAAGGCATGTGCACCATCCACCTGGGCATTTTTGTATGACCCCTGTGGGAATTTGGAGCCCCAAAGAATCAATGCTAAAGTAAAGTTTAGGATGTATGCTGTGTCATGAGTCCTTTTCTTTCACCAAGTAGTCTCCAGTCTTCTGCTAATATCAATGATACTGCTGTACATTAAATTGTTAGCTTGCGTGTAGTGTAAAATCTCATCTGTTTCCCACCCCCCACCCCTGGTTCTGACATGCAAAAAAATTGTCATTGTTTTATATCTACACCAAACCTTAATATTGTTAATTTTTTTTAAGGTTTTGCTTTTCTGATGGTGGAAAATGTGGCTTTAGTTTCCATTTCCTTAATTCATTGTCAAGCTGAGACTCTTCTCTAATTAGTTATTTGGATTTCTTCATCTATGAAATTCTTTTTTGGTTCATTTTGCTACTGAATTTTTTTTCATTTTTACTTACAAGTGTTTTTAATAAAGTCGAGTTAATTGTATATGTTGCAAATATCTTCTTAAAATTTCTGGCTTGCATTTTGCCTGTTTAATGGGGAATACTGATGATAACAAATTTTTAACTTGAAATCTTTAATTTTAATGTCAAATTTAAGATTGACTAATTTGTCAGTCTTTTATGAGTCATGCTTTTCTGTTCTGTTTAAGAAAGCAAAATATTACTTGAGGTCACAATGACATTCTTCTGTATTTTTTTCTAACTGATTTAAATTTCTTCTTTTAAATTTAGTATTTCATCCTCCTGAGACTGATTTTTCTGTATAAGATGTGAAATAAGGATCAAATTCATGACTTTTCCCCATATGCATAACCAATTCAGTAGTATATCTTTTTCCCTCTTCTGTGCAGACAACTCCACATATTTATATATGGGCTTTCTGTCTCATTCCATTATTTTATTTGTCACTTATTCAGACTGTGCTAATAGCACACACATTTCAGATTTTCATTTCCAGAAATGTAACAGCATATGCTATATAATTAGGACTAATTCACCTTTGAAAAACAAATATACAGATATATGAATATATATACACCTATATACATGTATATTCATATATAGTATGTGTACATATGTATATATGTGAATGTAAATATAGTGTCTGTGTCTATGTCTGTGTACATAGAAAGAGAGAGAAAGTTTATTAGATAAAACTCCAAGGGAAAATGGCAATCCAAAGTAATAAATGGAATTCCTGCCTAAACTTTTTTGCCCAAAGCTGTTTGCCAACCCAGATAAACTTGAACTTTGATTCTTAATAGTTTAGCAGTGTTGAGGCAGACAGCAATGAAAACACAAGTCCTGCCCAAAGCAAGAGACCTTCTCAAATTTAATTTGTGACAGCAAAGGTTTTCACAAAGTAGAAGTGGGCCACACTGTTGATGCCCTTAGGAGCATGTCAGAAACAAAGATACATCTTTAAAGGAATATGTCTTTGTTCAACGCCCCAAAGAACCCCCAGTAATAGAATTTTAAGCTACATGAGAAGCATACAGTCAAAAATAACTGAGAAAATACAAGGAGAAAAGAACTATGAACAAGGACACCATAAATTTCAGATATGAAAATTAATATCAGACACATATTATAGGACAACTGTTACACACTATATACATGAATATAAATACATATATAGAGAGTACATATATAATATATATTGGTATATATATAGTAGAATATAAGGAAATACAAAAAGCACCACAATCGTATAAACCAGCAAAATAGCTTAAAATAAAACAAAATCATAATTTATAATAACAAACAAATCTATGGGTTACCTATTAACAAATTTAATAAATCATATGCTTAAATTTAATGAAGAAAACATTGAAGCACTAGTAAAAGATATTCAAGTGAGTCTAAAATAAATGGAGATATATGACTTATTCACAGGTGGCAAAACCAAATATATGTGTATGAGTGGAGGGGAGAGAGAGAGAAAGATCTCTATGTAGAGAGCCCTACAGATTTATTGTTTTTCAATTATCTTATACTTTATTGTTTTAATTTTGAATAAATAATGTTGAGCATTCTTTTCTCATTTGTGATTCTTAATGAAATATAATTCTAATATATAAGCACTATTAATAAAGCATCTTCTAGATTTGTATTATATCTTTTTTTCAGATTAATCAAGTTCCTTCTGTTACTAGCTTATTAATAGTTTTATTGCAAATAAGAGTTGAAGTTTCCCCAAATTTTCTCCCAGATATCAGAAATATGTTCTTTTGCCAGTTCACTACATTAACATACTTCCTAATGTTAAACAATTCTTGCATCTGTTCCAGATAAACTATACTAGATGAAACATAAACCTTAAAACTTGATGAATTTGGTTTATGTATGTGTAATTTTTCTTTGTTGTACTGCCCTTAATCTTTTTGGTTTAAATTAAATAGAATTCAATGGGGAGTTATTTTTTTCTTGTTTTAAATCTCTTAAAGATTTTATATGAGATCAGAATTATTTGTTTCCTGAATATTTTATATAACTGTCCTGTAAAATTGTCTGAGCATTGTGTTTTTTAGTGTGTGAAGTATTGTAAAACTCCTTTACATTGTGGGAGGTATCATGAAACCCATTCTTCTTTTAACTTGTTATTAATACAATCAGGTTTTCATCTGCATTACTTTATTGGTAGCATTTATTTCAAGATCATCATCAAGTCCATCTTGCCAAGTCCAATGGTAAATTCCTAGCCCTCATCTTAACTTCCCAGTAACCTTCTTATGGTGTCCTCTGATTACCTAAATAAGAGTCCCCTCGACCCATCTCCCCACTATCCCTCTTTATCACTTTGTAATTTTTTATTTTTTGCCTATATGACTACTTGAAATCATTTTATATTGTACAGTTATTTTATTATTTATTATGTCTCTCTTTTTAACAGACTTGAAACTGAGTCTTCATTGTTTTATACCCTAATGCCTACAACACATCTTGGCAATTGTTATATATCCAATACATATGCTTATTAACATGATAAAGAAGTTGCAGGTATTCAAGAGTCTCATATGCTATTAATATGTTAAGTAGGAAGTAGTTAAACTTACATCTCTACAGACATCTGGATCAGAGACACATATTTGAACTTTCTGATTCTTATTTAATATTAGATGACATATTAAATCTATTTAATGAACCTCTGGCAATTTGGCAATTACCTGCAAACATATGCTTGCAAATATCTGGAAAACGTATTGCTTGTTATAGAAACTTGAACTTGAATAAAATATATTCATATAAAGTACTATATTTTCTAATGTAATTCCATTTCAGAATTGAATTTTCCATTTTCTTAGAACACAATAAGTACTTCTGAAAATAATACTGGGAACATTATCATATAATTGTTTTGATTTCAGGCTGGACAGCAGCGTTGGTGGGAACAGGAGATTAAAATAAATGGGAATATTCAAAAGGGAGAATTAATTACATATAACTTGACTGAGCTAATTAAACCAGAAGCTTATGAAGTTCGACTGACTCCTCTCACCAAATTTGGTGAAGGGGATTCAACAATTCGTGTAATCAAATATAGTGGTAAGTAGCTTTTTATTTTAAATTACATATTTGCATATTAAATAATATAGAATATTTAGGTTGCAACTCTCTACCAAATTTAGACAGAAAATAAAATTTAGCATATTGATTTTTTGGATCATCTGCCAGATGACTAAAAAAAAAAAAATACCCAAAGAAACAAAAAAATACCCAAACCTTAATCATCATAAATTGTAATATATGATTACAAATGTGGAGATATGGCATAATGCTTAGTTAATATTGCACCTATGTGATAATGTCAGCAATGTTCCTTTATTTTTGATTATTTTTGATCCCTGTGATGTAATATTTATTTGCATTTTATCTTTTCAAATTCTTAATGACTTTAAAACTTACATCATTAGAAATTAGGAAACATGATCAAAATGTTTGTTTTTAACTAATAGGCTTCATTTTTAGAGCAGTTTAGATTTACAGAAGAGTAGGGAGAAAGTGCAGAGAGCGCCTTTTCCCCCATGCAGTTTCTCCTATTCTTAACAAATCTTACCTTATTGTGGTACATTTGTTACAATTGATTAGCAAATGTTTATACGCGATTGCTCTAGTCAATAGTTTACATTAAGGTTAATTATTTGTATTGGACAGTTAGATGGATTTTGACAAATTATAATTTCTTTATCCACCATGACAGTATCATATAGAATAGTCTCACTGCTCTAAAAATCCCCTGTGCTTTGCCTGTTTATCTTTCCCCACTCCAAATTTGGTGACCACTGATCGTTTTACTGTCTGTATAGTTTCTCCTTTTCCAGAATGTCATATCCTTGGAATCATAGAGCATGCAGCATTTTTAGACTGGCTTATTTCACTTAGCAGTACACATTTAAGATTTTTTCCTGTCGCTTTAGCCTTGATAGCTCGTGCCTTTTTGTTTTTGAATAACATTCCATAAATGTATACCACAGTTTATTTATTTATCTATTGAAGGACATCTTAGTTGCTGGACTTGTTGTTGGTAGTGGTGGTTACTCTGGCTTCAGATTGTCACTGTTAAAAATATCTAAATATTTGTGTATGTTCGTGATACTGTACCTTTATGAATTATATGCATGAAATATTTCTTTATCATTTCAATGTCCTATTTGAGCAAAAATAGAAACTAGTATAGAACTGTGAAAAATTAAAAGTTGATCTTAAATTTTATCTAGAATTAGTTCTCAAATAGAAACAATGACAATCAGATATGTTGTTATTTTAGGGTATACTAAAGAGATTTCAACTTTTAAAAGGTGAAATTGTGCGTGTTTTAGAATTATAATGTTAAATGCTAGATCTAGAATTTTCAATGTAGTTTTCAGGGTTGAATGAATCACTGGTGAAATAGTTTATATTTATTTCATTGCTTCAGTAGAATATTATTCTTTCTATCACTGATTATCAGGGCTTGAGTTAAAAAGATTATAATATAGTATAATTTTTGTAGTTAAAGTTCTCCATTGTGTTTAGCATTAATTATATTTTTTCTACTCAAGAGGGAAGCAGTAAATACTGTCAAAAGTGAAAAATAAAGTGAAACTATTAAAAACTCATTCAATTTTTATTAAAAAATTAAGATGTATAATATAGAGTGAAGTAATCATGGACTATTAGGTAATATAAAAACATTAGACTCATATCATATCTCTTCTTAAATGTGGTCCTTTAAAATATTAATTTTTTAATTTTAGTGATATAGTAGAGTCAGTGTCATAATTCTATTGGGCAAACTATTAGATAATGTCTGAGTATATTTTTCTAAAGTTTCTGGTTTCATATGTTTTATAAAATATGAATTATTATCTCCTTTTATGTAATGTTTATGCTTCCTTGCCCTAAAAAATTATGGACTATTTGATAGGAGGGCATTAAAAAGCATGCATTAACATCCATTCCCTTAAAACATAAAGATATTAGGATCCAGAAAAATTAAGTGTCCTGCCAAGTTAAACAAATGTGAAATGACAAGCTCTGCCTGGAACTAAGGTTCACTCCTCCATGCCAGAGGATCTTTACTTCTTTGCTAAGTTTAGGACATCATTATCGCTTTCCTTAAAGGATATATAAAAAATGATAAGCTCATTAGTTCTTATTGAAAATTCTGAGACAATAAATTAAAATGAAAAATAGATGTGGATGGAAAATAGACCTTACTTTTACTTTTATGTGTTTTAAAAATTGTTTTTATATTCTTAGGTATACATATTAAAATCTTCAACATTTTAATTTAAATTACTTTTATATAATATAGATTTGAGCAAATTATACTTTAATTATATACAGGTATTGTATTAGTCTGCTTGGGCTGCCATAACAAAATATCATAGACTGGGGTAGCTTAAACAACAGAAGTTTAATTCTCACAGTTATAGAATCTGGGAAGTCTAAGATCAAAGAGGCAGCATGTTTGGTTTGTGGTAAGGGCTTTCTTCCTGGCTTGTAGATGGCTGCCTTCTATTTATCCTCACATGGCAGAGAAAGAGTTCTCTGGTATCTCCTCCTCCTCCTCCTCCTCCTCCTTTTATAAGGACGGCAATCTCCTTGATTTAGGACCACTCCCTTATGACCTCATTTAACCTCAGTTACCTCCTAAAGGTCTGATCTCTGAATATAGTCACATTTGGGATTAGGCTTCATGGTATGAATATTTTAGGGACATAATTTAATCTATAATGGACATTTATAAGAAATTATGCATGCAAGTTCAAATGAAAAAAGAAAAAATGGACTCACTACAATATTTAGAATTGCAAATTTTCACAAAGTTAACTGTGCTATTTATAGTGATTTTTGTCACGAAATTATTGGAGAAGACTCAGTTAAAATTCATTCTGGTCACAGGTTATATGTAAATATGACATTTCTTAGCATTAAATTATAATTCAAAGATTCTTCTTTGAACAGTAGGTAGTACATAGAATTTTTTATAATTTTATATTAACTATGAAATAATTTCAAGTTATTTTTCAAATTAAAATATACTGGTATCTTGCAAGAAAATGAAACTTATTTTTAGTCCACTTTCACTAGAATTAGTAAATGTATAGCCTCTTTTCTGCTAATCCTTTCATAATTTGTAATGTGGAATGCAGAATCAGAAAAATAACTAAGGTAATAAGAATTGTCTTCCTTATGTAGAAATAGCAAAAATAATTGAAAAACTTGGTTTGTTAAAATTTCTGTCAGTGTATTAAAGTAGCAATTATTACATATATGAACATGCTTTGTGCAAGTGTATGTGTTTTTGCCTATCACAACTTACTAACATTGTACAAGTTAATAAAATGGGAAATACTAAGAAAATGAAAAAATAGACATAAAATTCTGCTGGGGAGACTAACTGCCTATTGTAATCTTGGGAACCACAGTAATGCTTTCCTTTATTCAGAATAGACTTTTCTCTCAGAGTGATAAATGCCTAATCGATATTTACGGATACCATTTTGTTTCTTAAGTGAGATATATTTTTGTTGATGTTTTAGTAAAACTTAAAGTACTCATTTCTCTTTGGGTAAAAATCGATTGGCATTTTTATTGCCACCATAATTAGTTTTCTGAAACAAATATTTATTCTGATGCACACACACAAAATGTGTTGCTTATCTTTTGAAAACTGTGTGCATGCACATGTATGTGTATTTTAATGTAATAAAAGTGACATTGACGTAACTATTTAAGACCCATATTATAACATGATATAAGGGTTACTTTATTTTCATCTTTACCATATTATTCTCACTAGGAGTAGAAAACAGCAAAAAACAAAAGTGTAACTTCTTTTGGATAATTGCTTTCATTGTTAAACCTTAGGTTGGCCTACTATCAGCCTTAGTTTTGATATCTGGGTTTTTTTTTTTTTTGCTTAATACTTGTTAAGATATAAAAGGTCAGCAAAACCATTCCTTGAAAAATGAACAAATCCTCCATACTATTTAGCATTGATCTTTTTGGTAGTTTGAGGCTGTTATTGCTGAGCTCCAAAGTAGATTGTATTCAATCCTCTAGAACAAAATGGATTGCAGGTATAATTCTCCATGGCCACCATGGGGGAGAACATGAAGTTTTGGTAAGGAACTATGAGACACTGATTAGAGTTTTATTTATAAAAGACATTCAAGCCATGCTAACATTATTTTGTTTTTGTTTTTTGCTTTTATTGTAGCTCCTGTAAATCCTCATTTAAGTAAGTATATTTTCACTTTACCAATGGCACTGTATTTCATAAGTAAGAAAAATGGAACATGTATAAACATACAAAGATTATTTAGCAACTTTTCTTATTAAAACACAATAGTTTAGAATCAGTAAGATTGACATTAAATGTGAATTTTAAATTCCAAAGATATGGATATAAACATGAGTTATTTAATACTGATAATTTAAGTTTATATATTTTCCTAATTATGGAGTCATTTTCCCAACTTGCTTTATATTTGCTCTTTCTGTAACTGTGGGATTATTTTTTGTGGGATTGCATATCAATTTTATTGTTGTTATATGTTTCTTTGATTTTCATTCTTTGAATTACTGTATTCCATTCATAAAAGACTACGGTTGTTTAGAAAGTTGGTGTTTGAATGATTTAATCAATATTTTTCTTTATAGAACATTAAACTCCAATGTATTTGGTCTGATTTAGGTTATGAAATCTGTGAGATTGTTAAATTTTTGATATTTTGAAAAATTATTTATATTTTGTTTTATATTAAAGGTTATGAGTACAAGATGACATATGTATATATCTGAAAAATATTCCCATGTATGAAAACCTCTTTATCCTTGGAAAACAACCTTGAACTAAAAAAGAAAAAAGAATTACCATGAAAACCCATTCTAAAATATCAATCCATGAGAACTTTATATTTTTGAATGTAAGGTTAGATTTTTGGAGGTTATGGAATGACTGAGGAAGGTAGTTAATGCTTGAGGCCCATTGAGTATCAGGTTTCTTATTCCTAAGTTTCAATTTTTTCTTCACAATATTGGGAAGAATTCATAGAAATAAAGCAAACCTTTGGAGATTATGTAGTACAGAATATTTAAAATATCTTTATTTATTCCTGTGTAGCTCCTGAAAGTCTGCCAAAATCATGTTGTAATGAGAAAAATCAGTAAAAACTCAAGATCTATTAAATTCTCAGCTCTATATCCTTGTGAAAATCCTGGACCTTATTACTTTTCTATTTTATGAGATCTTTTAATATTTAATATTACATTGACTTTTGATGAGTTTATACAGTTATGTGCATTTTCATTATCTATCAAATATTCTTTATTCTAATAAGCCTTTTTAAGAACAAACTGCTTTGTACGTATTTATAATTATCTCATTTAAAATGACAGGATAATCATAAAATTGTTATGGTTCTGACGAGTTGTTTTGCTTTTTCCATTTTCCAACCAACTTTTTATAAAACCCCTCTAGTAATAGGTTTCTTTACTGTAAAGATATATGTCCTCAGAAGTAAATAAATATTGATATAGCCTATGTATATGTGTGATTTGAATTATTGTAGCAGTTATAATAATATAAACAAATTATACAATATAAAATAACCTAAATTTTGAAAAATTTTAGGCATATCTAACTTTGTAGCTTTCATAAGCTAAAATATATTGTTGCTTAATTTTACCATGAAAAACTTAAATATTTAGTTTTTAAAATTGTTTTGTTCATTTTTAAAGCCAAGTTTTTCTTTTTAAAAAAGTTTAAATTAAATTACAAAAAGATGTCATTAAAAAGTGTTATCAAAATTCATTATACATAATTTTAGATAATGTATATAAAGATTTGGCAGCAAATCTATAAACTGAAGTCCCTAGTCTTCACATTTGTATCTGATATATTTTTGTCCATATATAATGTATATAATAATTAAACAACTGAAAATATTTAAAATCAGGCAGTAACCTTGTGGGATTATTGCGACTGCAAAGTAACAACTAAAGGAATCTCATATTGTACCTAAAAGGCATTTAAATAAATTGATGCATGTATAGAACTGCACTGCAGTTGACATCATTATATTTTCAACTGATAGCATCAAAAGGTAATTTCTTGTTTTGTGCAAGATCTGTGATACAAATATGTGTCTAATAAATATGTTATGTGCAATATTGTTTAGCTAGAAATTTACTGATTTCAACTCCTTTACATTCCCTGTAATCCTACCTATCCAGAATGTAGAATATAAATAAATACAAAGAGGCACAGCAAGTGTTTAATCTGAACAGCAAAAATAAAACAAAAATTTATTTCTTAAATTTAAAGGGAAAGCCTTTTTTAAATTTTCATATGTAAATTCCAATAGTTTTGAATTGTTTCAAGTATATTACCCCAACCAATGGTTCCATTGCCAGGGATATCTGATAAATCTAACCTTTTGCAGGCAGAATGGGGGAAAAGTTGGGACTCAAATGGGAATCTGTTCTTTAGATGTTAATATCTGCATGAATTCCAGAGAATCTGGATTACGTTTGGCTTTATCATTTAATAGCTGACCTTAGCCAAAGTTTTCTTTTAAGTGAGCCTCATGAGTAAGAAATACTGTGGTTTTCTAGAATTATTAGTTTAATTGAAATAATGTACTCCAATTTAATTTTTCTCAATTAAAGATACACATTGTTTATGTGTCTAGTGGACCTTATCAACTTCTTTATTTACACCTATTTTTCAAGCAGGGTACATCCCAATAAGAAAACCTTTGATACTTAGAAATGTTATTACCACCCACATTTCAGGGATAGTTGAAAAGGTCTCTCTCTGAGCTTGTGTTGGGTCTGGACTCAGCGTATGGTAGGCATCAAAGAAACCACAGTCTTTACTTAGGGTCTTCATAAGGTCTTTTTATTACTACATTTCAAGTAAATGGAAATGAATCATTTATTACTCCAAATCAAGTAAATGAATGTGAAAAACCCACATTCATATAAAGTATGACAGATGACTACTTTTCAAAATAATTTGCTATTATTTTGCCTAAGCAACTTCCATTTATGCAAATGGATATATGTGAAAGCATCTCTAGACATGCATGAAAAATTATAAACTTAAGGTATACATCTTTAAAATACCATCAGGTAAATTAATAAAGGTAATTTTCCAATTGACAGTTTTGTTTTGATTGTTTTTATATTTATAATTCAGGCATGACTGTATTCTTTAATTTCAGTTATCTGAGTATTTCAGAGGAAAATGGCTTGAGTTTTAATTACTCATTAAGAGACAGATTTACATATAAAATTATTTTTATTTTTCATTAAAATTGGAATAATTTTATGTTTAGTTGTAATATTGTGCACTATTATGGCTCTGCTGCCATTATCACAATCATGTATTATTATTGCTATATATATATAATGTTTTAAATTTTTCTTATAAAAGTATTATAATGTATGTATTAATTTAATTAATATTATTTACTTTAATCAAAATTTGTTAACAGGAGAATTTCACTGTGGATTTGAAGATGGTAACATTTGTTTGTTCACCCAAGATGATACAGATAATTTTGACTGGACAAAACAAAGTACTGCAACAAGAAATACAAAATATACTCCTAATACAGGACCTAATGCTGATCGTAGTGGCTCCAAAGAAGGTATGAGGGTATGGAGTGTTATGTTCATAGCAATTAGAGACTTTTACAAATGCTATTAATGTGAGCTGCAAGAGAATATTTGAGTGTATATTTGAAGATTATAAAATAAAACATTAAATTTTACATACAGTATTAATAATTTAGATATTTCTAAAATTTGTAGATATTAATTTATTTTTTTCTTAGAACTCAGTGATAAGTATACTTGACAGATTGGGAAGGTTTTTTTTGATAATTCAAGTTTAAATTTCCAATTTATTCTCAGGTTTTTATATATTTTGTCTATAGGTAGATCACTTATTCTTTATGTTAAATCCACTATTAGTTATGTATGTACATACAGATTTTATAAATGAGATGAAAATCCTATCAGTCTTTACTTTGTTTAAAAACTCTAAAATTTCTCGGTGATTTGAAATTTGATGCTGTCGAATAATAATGTGTTTAAGCATTTTATTTTATCTGTCTTAAGGTTTTTATATGTACATTGAGACATCACGACCCAGATTGGAAGGTGAAAAAGCTCGACTTCTCAGCCCTGTTTTCAGCATAGCTCCCAAAAATCCTTATGGACCTACAAACACTGCATATTGTTTCAGCTTCTTTTATCACATGTATGGACAACATATAGGTGAGATGACAAGAATTACTGTTTAAATGTAAAGTAAATCATAGCTAAGAAGAAAGATTCTGAAACACACAGCATGGAAACAATTTTTGTCAAAGAATGCTGTAATTGACTTTTTAAATGACTTACCTGGAAATTGCAAAATGAGATACTAAGAATTTTTTCCTATCATCTAATTTCCCAAATTTAGATTAGAATTTGAAATTTTAGAGCATTACCTATTTCCTCTTGGAGTTTAATTCAGGCAGACCATCAATGATTAAATACTTTATGAGATCTTGTGGAAATAACATAATTTAGGTTGTTTCTGTCTAAAGAAATATGCTTGAATAGTGACTCAATGCATATTAATCATGATGAAAAGGAATATTTTCATGTAGTCATATTGGCAATTACTTTTAGCACAATCTACATATTTGTAATATTAGTGTGACTTTTCTCTTGTACAATCCCTAACACACTCAGTACAATTAAGAATATGCTGGATTCTAAAGAGTATACAAAGTTGAAGACACATTCCCGGCCCTTAGAGACCACACACAGTAATAGAGGCTAAGATAAGTAATTATATCACTGTGCTGGATAGAATACCATATATCCCTGATAATGGACCTAGAGAGACTCTGTGGGCTTGGGGGTGAGGATGGGGAGAAGATCAAGCAGGTCTGCAATTCTTTATGTGCAATTCTAAAACCCAGAAAACTGAACACCAAATTTTTAAAAAATTTAATTATTTGGCAGTATATGTTAGCCTGCTATATGCTCTTAACTGATATGAACCTCTCTGTAGTCTTTATTTATACCATTTGCTGCAAAAAATATTACTGGATTCTGTTCCAGACCATTCTAGGGGATATCACATAATATATAAGAGATACCCTCTATTACCTTTCTAACATAAGACAAAATTCTGAGTAGTGAAGAATATCTGGCCCCACAGAGGTTAGACGAGGAACTGTGAATCTGTATCTGGTCAAGATATGAGGCAATGCTTCAAAACAAAGGAAAACATTTCTCCTGGGTTGGCAAGAGGGGCATGTTTTCAACAGGTGGAGATTAGCACAGAGAGGATTAAGGCCTTGATAATGAGGAATTAAAATATGGGAAGTTAGGATGACATCAGTGTCTTTATATAACTTAATAAAAATAATAATATAAATATATATTGATATAAACTAATAAAATTAAGCACATAATATATACCTACTACTGTATTACTTAAGCTAAGTGATCCTCTTAATAAGTTTGTAAAACCACTGTCTTTTACAGTGGAGAAAACTGAACCTCGTATCTTAGTTTTCTCATCTGTATAACGAAACTAATTCCTATTTCAGAAAGCTGTAGTTTAAGTTAAATGAGATAAACATATAAAATATCTCCTATCAGATGGCAGACACATAATCTCAGATTACTTTGAATCTCAAATAGCAATAATAATAAAGTAATTGCTGACATTCACAGAGTACTCATCAGGGACCAAAATACTTCATAGATTATTTCTCTTAATCTTCACAATAAACATTTGTGCCCATTAAAATCATTATCCTGTTTTATAGCTAAGAAAACTGAAATAAAAAGAATTTTAATTTCCATGCCATCATATGGCTGATAAGAAGCGAAGCCATAATCCAAATAGGGGAAGCTGATCACACAGTCTGTTTAACCACTCTGCAGAAATACCGTTTGGAGTGTCATGAAAGCTTAGCTAAGTATGTGACACTTATTTAGTAGTCGGGGTGAGTTATTACAGATTTTGTGCAAACAAAAAAGCATAATAAGATCTTTGATTTAGGAAAATAAACATTATGGGAATGGGTAAAATTACTGTAAAACAGAATCTAGCCTGGAAAAACCCTTCAAAAGCAATGAGAGCACTCATGAGTTCACTACCATATAAACTATGAAAGAAACAAATCTTCACACAGTTGCTAAGCCATTTTATTTCTCGTGAGGTTATGAACTCTTTGTAATACAAAAGTAGGATTAGCTCAACTCTACTTCCTCCCTTTAGTTGATCATGTATATTTTATTCTCTATCTTGAATATATTTCATGGATTTGCTCTTCTTTCAATTTACCTCAGAACAGGCATTTTTATTAGTTTTTAAATATATAATTCCAGGACCAATATTTTAAATTACTTTAAAGGATAAAATATGTATTTATTTATGAGACTGGCTCTTTTAAGTCTTCCTTTCAAAATTTCTGCATATGTATGCTGTATCCCAAGATAATTTTAATATACTTTTAACTTTACAATTGTTATTCTTATCCTCTTTATTGTCAATGGATGTCTGGTTGAATTTCTACTAGTTTTGTTGTGATTATTTCAGGGGTGGAGTTGGGGATGGCAGTTCTCTGTTTCTTAGTAAACATTTAACATTTTAACCCTGTGCCATTTCTTAGCTTAATCAGGTAGCTGAAAGTCGCAGGTTGGGTGTCAGGGTCTATTACTTGAGTCCCTTAGCAGGGCACAGGCAAACAACTTAATAAAATCTAGGTAAAAATACCTGTTCCAGAGATTGAGTAATCAGTTAGAACTAGATGTGGTACTTTATTAGGGAGATTTCCCCATAGTTAAAACCTTCCCTCTTTGTACACTTTTTTCTCAGACCCTCATTCATCTGTAAATCCAAGAAGCATTTGTAATCACTGGTTTTACAAATTTCATTCAAAGTTTTATTCATTCTTTTGGAAATGTAAATTCAAAATTGACTTGTACCAAATTTCGAATAGCCTAATTGCATTTATTACTCCTTGGGTAAGTGTAAATAAGTCTTGTAGTTTTAACTGTGACTAAAGGACTACAGTATATCATTGAAAAGAGTCATAATTGTCTAACAATACAAAAATGGGTGATACATTACTTAGAAGAGAGAGATTCTTCTTGGAAATAAAGTCAAGTGTGTTGTATTACTTATCTATTGCTGCATCAAAAATTTACCCCACATTTTTTGACCTAAAACCAGAGACATTTATTATCACATAGTTTCTGTGGGTCAAGAATATGGGTAAGGGTTAGCTGGGTGCCTGTGGCTCAAGATCTCCCATAAGGTTGTGGTCAAGCTTCCACAGAAGACTCAAGTATAATCTGAAGACTCAATTTGGGAAGGATATATAATACTTCCAAGCCCTCTCACTTGGTTTTTGGCAGGCTTCACTCCCTCACAGGTGTTGAACTATAAATATTGATTTCTTGCTAGCTGTTGATGATAGTTCACCCTCATTTTCTCACCATGTGGACCTCTCTACATGGGTGTCTCATGACATGGTAGCAGCCTTCTTTCAAAGAAGAAATCCATGAAAGAGAGAGAGAGAACACATGCCCAAGACTTTTTATAACCTAATCTCTATATCTATTTTGCAGAGAAAACAGAGACTCTTAGGAAGGCAACTTTCATGTTGACTTCCTATTCCTACATGTAGGAATGTATCAGAAGCCACATTCATACCTATTTATTTTTTCCCACCTCACTGGAAGTGACATTAGTTCAAGGCTAATTCCCTGACCAGAGCTCTAAATTCCTATCTCTTCATAAAATTTGCTTCCCTATGATGTTTGTATTTCTAAACTTATCCTTTCTATTAACTCTTTTTTCCTTTTAAAATAAGTCCTTCTACAATCCCACATCTCTCTGCTTTATCAGTTCTTTTTTATACTCTCATGTTTCTTCATTAATGAACTCCTTTTCCTTTGCCCCAATTTGCTCCACAGAGAAATTAGCTTTCTAGAGGCACAACTGTATTGATCCATTCTAAGTTCAATGAATGCATTCATAAGTGCCTTTTGTATTTTTATCTTTAATTTCCTGATATAATATGATGCTTATATCTCACCCACTTGTCATTTTCAGAAATAAATGAAGTATATAGTTTACTGATTTTTAATAAGCTTTTGTCATAACTAATGCCCTCATGTGAGTTTCAATTTCTTTTCAAGAACATTAGCAATTCAGCTGATATATTATGAATTAAAATTCCTATTAGTAGCCACAGGAATGCCAAAATCATCTTATATTTTTATCAATAGTGGGATATTGTATCATTTACATATGAATACACTGTTAAGAGTAACACAGTATAGCTTTCATTTGGAAATATGTTTTTTTCTTTAATCAATTTTGATGAAATATTTAACTAACAAATTGTACCAGTGAGGCAGACAACCTCTCAGTTGCCTCCAAACAATCTCAACCTCTTAGTATTAACATTCTTGTGTTATTTTTTCCCCTTGAATATGGGCTGGAATGATCAACTCAGTATAATAAATAGAACAAGGAAGCAGTTATAGGATATCACTTCAGAGATTAGATTATAAAAACTCTTGGGCATGTGTTCTCTCTCTCTCTTTCATGGATTTCTTCTTTGAAGGAAGACTGCTACCATGTCATGAGACACCCCTGTAGAGAGGTCCACATGGTGAGGAATTGAGGGAGAACCATGATCAATAGCTAAGAAGAAATCAGTATCTATAGTCCAACACCTGTGAGGGAGTGAAGCCTGCCAAAAACCAAGTGAGAGGGCTTGGAAGTATTATATATCCTCCCCAAGTTGAGTCTTCAAATTATACTGGAATCATATCTGGAAGTTTGACCACAACCTTATGAGAGACCTTGAGCCACAGGCACCCAGCTACCCTTACCCATATTCCTGACCCACAGAAACTGTGTAATAATAAATGTTTCTGGTTTTAGGCCAAAAAATGTGGGGTAAATTTTTGATGCACAATAGATAAGTAATACAACATATCTGATTTTATTTCAAAGAAGAATCTCTCTTCCAAGTAATGTATCACCCATTTTTTATTGTTAGACAATTATGACTCTTTTCAATGATATACTGTCTTTCAGTCACAGTTAAAACTTTAAGATTTATTTACACTTACCCAAGGAGTAAGACATTCAGTTAGGGTATTAGAAATTAAGTACAAGTCAATTTTGAATCTATACAACTTCCAGGAGGCTGAAGGAATAGATGAGGATTTTCCATTTAGATATAATAGGT